CGGTTCTAGGCACACTGGGGATATGGTAAGGAATAAAACACATAAAATATTCTTGCCATCCTGCAGTTGATATTCTAATGTGGGAAGAGACAGTAAGTGTAATAAATAAATTACATAGTATGCTATCAGGTGATAAGACCTGTGAAAAATAGAGCAGGATAAGAGGGATTGGGAGTCCTGAAGGGCTAGCAATTAAACAGGGGTGAGATGGAGAGACACTCCAGGAGAAATGCCTGGAAAGCTGAGATGTGAGCAAAGACCCGAAGAATGTGAGGACCCTGTGGATATTTAAGGGAAGAGTTCCAGGCAGAAGGATCAGCAGGTGCAAAGGCCCTGAGGCTAGAGTGTGCATGGTGTGTCCAGAAACAGGTGAGACCAGTGTAGATAAAACAGAAGCTGAGATGGAGTGAGAGGTGTGGACTTCGAGGTGACCCGGCACATTGTGCCAGGACTGTATGGGCCTCCTCATGAGGACTCTGACTTTTCCTCTGAGGAAAGTAAAAGCCGTGGAGGGCTCTGACCAGAGGAGGGACATGATCTGACTTGGGTTCTAACAGACACTCTCAGGTTCAGATATTGGTGGTATTAAGCACTTACCGGGTGCCAGACACTGTCCTGTGAGAATTCAGTGTGGTATGATCTCCTTTCATTCTCACATGGACCCTGTAGGGATGATCATTCCATTTCATAGAGGAGAAACCAAGGCTCAGAGAGTTTGTCATTGACCCATGGCCACACAGCAATAGCCTCACGTGGGTGCGGTGAAGTGAACCAGCCTCCCCCTTCCTCCAGGCTTTCAGGCAAGGATCGCCGCCGGCAGAGCGCACTCATCATCGGGAGCTGCGTCTGTGTCCCTGTCTGTCTGTTTCTATTTCCACGCGTCCCTGTCTGTCTCCGCGCGCCTCTGCTTGTGCGTCCCCCATCTGTGCCCAAGCCGCCGTCTCGCTGCGCCCGGCCCCCGCACATCGGAGCTATTTCGGGTTTAGGCATAAAAGCCCAACAGCTCGGAGGAGACGCTTCCTCCGGCCCCCGGCTCGGACCACGCGCCACACGCGGCCGCTTCTGGGAGCTCCCGGTCTTCTCTGCGGGATCCCCAGGCCGGGGGAAGCCCCCGCGGGAGGACGGGTGGGGGCTGGGGCGACCCGGTCCCGAGGCTCCCGGCCCCCCAGTGGCCATCCCGGGCATTGACGCCGTCCAGACCCCAGCCGTGCGTCAGCTGTCGCTCTGGCAACGGGCAGGCGACGTCACCCTCCGGGCAGTGCGTCAGCCACCCGCTGACGTCACGCCACGGGAGAGAAAACTAGCGAGGGAGGGTAGGATTCGGGCTCCGCCGGCAGGGGGAGCCCCGGGGCACTAACGGCGGATGTCTTCGGCTTGGTCCTTCAGGAGCCGCTGGCCGGGGCGGACATGACCATCGCAGCCCCAGCGGCGAGCTAGGTTGGCGGGATGAAGAGGAGTCGCAGTGTTCTGTCCGTGGCCGGGACCCGGGACGAGGTGCGAGAGGCGGGGCCCGGGCTGGGGGCGGGGCTTGGTCCACGGGAGAGACGGGCGCCCTCTTGTGACTATGGCTGTTCACTAAGTGTGGCTTCACGTTATCAAATCTGAGGAGTGTCGTCGCCTTGTGCCTCAGTTTACTCCCTTGATTCCATAATTTTCCAGCTGCCTAGATCAAGAGGCTCTCAGGCCCGGGACAGAACGCAGGGGCTTCCAAGGGGCTTCCCAGGTGGGGAGTGTGTTGTAGGGTGAAGAAGGGGTGCTGGGGGTAAGGTCTTGAGGGTCTAAGATGGGGGGGAGGGGCCACAGGCCAGGACGGGCCTCGTAGGTGTGCCGGATGGGGATATGTTAGAGGGGTTTCACAGCGAGGCACACAGTGTACAGGCATAAGGGTCCAGAGCCCCAGGGCAGGAACATCAAAATGAAGCCCTGTAAGAATTATGGCTGAGAAGGCGTGGGAAAGCGCCCTTTGTGGGAGGGATCAGCGAGTGGCTAAGATGTGAGGGGGACACGAGGAGTCTATGTCCCCAAGAGCCACTTTCTCAGGTGGCTAGGGAAGGGTGTTATTGGAGGGAGGGGATCAGAGCAGCCTAGTCAGGCCATGCCCCTATCCTGTCCTTGTCCCTCCTCAGAGGCTGTGGGAGACCCCAGAGCCCACCAGTGCCAGCATGCTGGGGGCCGACCTCTGGCGCCCTCGCCGTCGCCTTTCCACGGGTCCTGGCCTGGGCTGGGCGGAGGCTGAGCCCTCAGACCCTGGGATCCCAGTGCCGCCAAGGCCCACCACGCTGCCACTGCTGGTCCCTCCGCGGATTTCCATCACCCAAGCTGACAGGTACACAGGAGGGGACCAGGCTGGGAGGTGGGATGGAGATTCAGGGCCCCGGGGCTAGGTCCGGCCACCAGCTGTTTCCATGTTCCAGGCCCCTGGCTTTTCACAAAGTCAGCTGAAATTTCTGGAGCCCTGTGGGTCAGGCTGTGACGCCCCTTCCCCAGGATGCCCCTTGCCTCTAGGAATCCCTTCTTCCATTTTGCAACTCCCTGAGTCAGCAAGAGGCAGGCCTGTGGAAAGGGTTTCAGCCCTCCAGTCCCATCATGCCCCCACAGAGAGCTGGGGCAGATTACGCAGTGGGTCTCCCACCTATCAGCTGGGTGGGAGGATGCACTTTCTTCCAGGCCTTAAAGAGGATGGTGAGACCCTGGTGGAGGGCTGGACTGGCATTTTCTTTCTCTTGGGAGGAGATGTAAGAGGTATGTGTGAGCCTCCTTGCTCTTTCTCATCTGGGGTCCTCTGAGGGCACTTCAGCCCCTATCTTGGCCGAGGATGAGTTCAAAAGCTGGACAACTGAGCTTGCCCTGGCTGCTGGCCAGGCCCCGACCCTACGGCCCTCCTCAGGCCACTGTTGTCTGCAGCCTCAATCTTGCCATCCCCTTATCTACTCAGTTGGAGATCTCCAGGGTCTCTGCTTGGGTCATGAGCTAATGCTTCATTTCCAGATGGGGGAAGGAAGTGACTATCATCCCTCCTCCCTGGGTCTAATGTATCTCCCTCCAACTCCCCCCCCAACCCCCAACCCCAATCATCTTCTACCCTCTGCCAGGTTCAGGTCCAGCCTTGTCTAACCTGGATTCAGAGCAGAGCTCCAAACACCAGCCTTAGCCCACTGCCTTGAGCCCTTCTGCAAACCGCCCCCCCCCCCCCCCCCTGTGGTCCACCCCCCCCCCACCTCCGCCCTGATCCGTTGTTACCCACCGATAGCTCCAGCCAACGCTACAGCCTCCAGGCCCCAAGAATTTGGCCCAGCCCAGGACCCTCAAATGATCTGGAGAGGACTGGCAGCCCTTGCCAATCCCCTAGAAGCCGTTTTGACTATATACTGTTGGGGGAGGGTCCCCGAGAGAAGCGGGAGACACAGTTCTGTCTTCTGGGATACCCCGCGGCTGCTAATGCGGGGCGGGTTCTTGCTCGGCGTTCGCCCACGCCCGGAGCCCCCTCGGGCTGGGAGAAAAGCGGCTGTGGGGGTTGGAGATGGCCGCTTTTTTTTTTTTTTTTTTATAAGAACAGTGCTGGTGGGGGGGCGCGGGAGGGAGGAGGGCGGTGGCAGACGGCAAGGCCTGCCCTGGGGAGTCCGTGAAGGGGACGCGCGGGGGCGGGGACCTGGTTCCGGGGACGCGCACCCACGCCGTTTAGCGTCCGAGAGCGCGTGGGCCCCGTAGGGGGGACACCGGGGAGATTGCGCTCCCAAAGCCCGGCTACCGCCAGGGCTCCGTCGCGGCCCGGGCGGCAGAGATGGGGGGAGGGTGGCGCTCAGATCCCGCTCGCTCTCTGCTCGCTCGCTCGCTCGGCGCGGCGCTGGGGGAGGCGGGAGCGTGAGTCACGGCGACTCCCGATTTAGGTGCCGGAAGGGGGGCTCTGCCGGCGGGGGCCGCAGGGAGGAGGCTCGGCTGTTTACTCGCCTGAAAAGGGCATGGGGGTGCATCTCGCGGCTGCCGGAGACCTGCCTCAGTTTACCTCCTGTAGAAGCGCTTTAAAAGAGGCAGTGATACACAGAGCGGTGGGCGGGCAGCCGGGGTGTCCTCCTGGAGCCACACGGGAACCAAAGGGACACACCCCAGAAACACCCCAAAGGGGCCCTCGGGCGGACCACACACACACACCAACGCATGCAGACTCCCTCAGACACCACAGTAAAACAGCCGAGGCTGAATTGCCTGCACAACTCGGCAAGCACGGACCGACCACAACACACACCCAAACGCGTGGGTACACATGCACAGCCCCAGGCCACCAGAACAGACCCCACAGCGGCGCACACCCTCCAAACAAGCAGCACACGTGCGCACACATCGTTCACCCACAGACACACTGATACACACACAGCGAAATCCAGAGAAACAGGCAGACCGCAGCAGCCAACCACGTGCGCACACACACTTCCAGCCGACACCAAAAACACAGACAACCCTCTGAAGGGGCCACGTGCACGCCCATCCCGCCCAGGGCACACATCATCACCATCTTCCGACCCACCAACAGGAGAATCCCGGAACATCGCCGCTGCCAGCCTCAGAGACCGCACCGGCGGCGCCGGGACCACTCCCCACACTCTCCCCCCCGGCCAGGGGTAGCGGCGAGGACACGCCAGCATAGGGCTCCGCCCCCGCCATGATGGACGGACTGACTGACACACAGGCAACCAGTCGGGTGTCTTCCTCCTGATCGGATTAACCGTTTAACTCCTTCTTTCCCGTGCGCGCCGCGGCTAGGCAGGGCGCTCCGGAGAGAGCCGAGTTCCGGCGCCCCCTCCCCTCCGGGAGCGGGGCTCTGCGTGGGCGGGGAGGGGCCCCCTCCTTGGGTGGCTGCCCCCACTGGCCGGGACCGAGGAGGAGGAGGGGGGCGGCGCTGACAGAGCGGCGGGCGGGGGGCGGGGAGGGGCGGGACGGGGCGGAGGAGCCGGGGCTGGCGCGGAGCGGGGTGCCGAGCGCGGAGAGCGCTGCCGGGCGCGGAGCAGAGCGCCAGCCGCCAACAGAAAGCCGCGGCGCCCGGCCCGGGGGCGACCGGCCCGTAGCGCCCCCGGGTCTGTCCCCGGGGCGCCATGGCCCCACCGAGGCCGGGCGCACCCGCGGGGCCTCGGACGCGTCGGCTAGCGCGCCGCTGAGCAGGGTGCAGCTTGGAGAGGCCGGGGCCCCCCGGGGCGCAGTAGGGGGCCGGCGCCATGGAGCCCCCGGCCGCCCCATCGGAGAGGAGCCTGTCTCTGTCTCTGCCCGGGCCCCGGGAGGGCCAGGCCACCCTGAAGCCGCCCCCCCAGCACCTGTGGCGGCAGCCGCGGACCCCCATTCGTATCCAGCAGCGCGGCTACTCCGACAGCGCGGAGCGCGCAGAGCCCGAGCGGTCGCCACACCGGCCCATAGAGCGCGCCGACGCCGTGGACACCGGCGACCGGCCCGGCCTGCGCACTTCCCGCATGTCCTGGCCCTCGTCCTTCCACGGTACCGGCACCGGCAGCGGCGGCGCGAGCGGAGGCAGCTGCAGGCGGTAAGACTCCGGGCGGCGGACGCGCGTGGAGCGGATAGGCGCGCAGAGAGGACGCAACTCGCCCCGCTGACCGCAGGGGGCGCTGCGCTGCGGGTGGAGTCCTAGTGACTCGCGGGGGTGTGGAGGGGAGGGGGAGTTCTACTGTGGGGGGCGTCCGGGACGCGGCCCTGGTGATGCCCTGTACACGAGTACCCTTCCTGCTGAAGCTGGTCCTGGGGTCGACTTAGGGGGCGCCATGCTGCGTGTAGTATTAACGATGTCTTGGTGGAGGGCTGCAGCTTTGGCAGCGTGAACCTCAGTTGATGACAGCGCAGGACAGTGGCTAGGCTGGGTAGTTGAAGGGACTTTCCTGGGGGCACTGTACTCTTTCCTAGAGGGCACTGTAGGGGGCGCCTGCTGAGATCACAATGTTTCCTCCAGGCTGAGGGGCTCTTGGAGTCCCCTGCGGGGGTGGAGGACTCTATGGGGTGCGGGGGAGCATTTGGGGACTCGCCCTGAAGCAGCTGGGGTCAGAAATCCAGAGGGAGCCTCTTGGGGGAACCCCGTGTTGGGGGCCTGTGTGCTGCGTTGGAGCTCCCTCTCAGGGCAGGAGTGTTAGGGTTCAGTAGCTCACCAGAGGGAGGGACTGATGCCCGGAGAGTGCATGGTCCCAGCACAGGGTAGTAAGGGATTCCCTGCCTCCCTGAGGGGACAGTGTTAGTGAGGGCAGGTGTCAGGCTGGTTCGATGGCATCCTCTCCCTGACCTGGGTTGGCTCCAGCTGTTGGGGTACTACTAGCTGTGTCTTAGCTATAGGCGCTGCCTGGGCTTCTGGAGATCTGCGACTGTGACATAGGATTATGTGTGCTCCGGGGACAGTGATTATGGCAGTGGAACCATATGTGCTTCCGAGACCATGATTGTGACAGCATGACCGTGTGTGTGCTTCAGGACAGTGTGGTTGTGATACATGGCGTGCTTCCAGGACAGTGACTGTGACCGTGTGACTTGTATACTTAGGGTCACAGGAGTTGTGACAGTAGGACCCTGTGAGCTCACAGGACCATGAGGATGTGACAGTGTGTGCTTCGGGGACAGCGATTGTGACAGTGATTGCGTGTGCTCTCGAGGCACATATTGTGACAGTAGGCATTCCTGGGAGGCAGTGATGGTGGCCCTGGGACCATGTGATCCTGTCAGCTGGACTGTCCGAGCTCCCAGGGACACTGACTAAGATGGACATGCTCTCTGCCGCCTCTGTTCCCCGAGCCGAGGAGCCGAGGAGTCCTCTGAGTTCTGGGGTATGCTCCCGTCCGCCTGCCCTCCCGTGCTCTAACCACCTGGTGTTCTTGGCTACTGTGTGTGCTCTAGTTGTGCTCGGGGGTCTGACTCTGGGTGACTGACAGCTTCGCCTGTGTGCTGTGTCTGACCCCCACGGGTGCTCCTCTGCTTGGGACATCACTAAGACGGTCAGATTCAGGCCTCTCACCCCTGGAGTTCCTGAGGGAGGCCTCTCTAGGCTGTGACCCTACAATTCCAGCTCTCTCTGGGGCCTACCAGCAGGCCCTACACCTCCCCCCAAACACCCCCACCTACTCTCATTGGAAACATACCCAGCCCGGGCACCCCTGTCCCCAGGCAGGAAGCAAGTGTCTTGGGCCCAGCACACATAGCCTGAGATTTCCCAAAGGGAACTGGAGAGAAGCTGAAGGAAAACAAAAGCTGAAATCAACAGGAAATGCCAAGACCGGGGGCTGCCTGCCAAACTGGCTCAGGTCACTGTCCTGAGAGACCAGTGAAGGCTTCGGGGGTGCCTTTGGGACTGGGCCCTCTTCCTTTTTAAGACCCCAGGGACTCCCCCTACCCTGGTGTTTGGGCACTCTCAGGGGACAGTGGCTTAGTGGTAATGATCATCATTCTCTTGGTGGTATCCATCTCTTAATGGCTCACTCTCGGGCTCCGTGCCGGGGACTTTTCCACATGTCTTCTCCAGTGCCTGGGGTGGTATTCCTGTTGGACAGACTGAGGCCCAGAGGAGCAAAGTCCCTCCTTCGTGCCCAAGCCCACACAAGCAGGAAATGGCAAAGCTGAGATCCCAGCACCTCTCTGATGCCTTGAGTCCTGGCACAAGGGTCTTGCCCTCTCTGGGCCTCGGTTTCCCCTCTGTGAAGCGGGGCTGTTGGTACTGCTCTGTTGGTGGGGGGTTGTTTGAGAGTTGTGAGATTGGGGATGTGTGTAAAGGACCTAACACAGCGAGTGCCCAGTAGATAGTCACTCAGGGACCTGGACTCAGGAGAGGAGCTGGGGTTTGAGCAGACCCTGCTCCGCCAGGTTGGGAATTAAAAACAGGAACCTCAACCACATCCCGGCAGGGCTCAGGTTTCTGTTTCACCCGGGGCCTGCGTAGCCTCCAGCGCCTGTGGCCAGAGGGAAGGCATGGGTGCCAGCAGCCTCCCCCCACCCTTAGGCAGAAGGAGGAAGGGGGAACTGAAAGGCCTCCAGTGGGAACCTTGCTTCTTAGAATGGGCTTTCTGCCAGCCTGTTTCTCCAGAAAGGGGGCTCTCTGAGCGCACGCAGGGCGTTCCAGGGCTACCCACGTTGCAGTTCTTGCAGCCACCAAAAAGGGGATCCAGACAGCCCTAGACTTGAGTCACAGGAACCCCCAGAGAGAGGGCACTGCCCTCCATCTGAGATGGCATCCACAACCCCCCTCCAGACCTGGGGATGTATGAGCCTGTGCTCCTGGCGCCCTGCGGGGCTGAGTCACGGCACCACCACGATCTGTCAAGAGGCAGATGGAGCTGGAGGAAGAGAAAGACTCCGGTGGTAGTGGGGGCGGGGAGAGGAGGGCTTGCCTAAGTTGGGGGCAGGGCCAACATACGGACCCCTATGCCCTGTGCCCCTCAGTACCTCCAAATTCTTCCCGCCGTGGAAGGCGCTGCCGAGTCCCGGGAAGGGGTGGAGGCAGCTGGACTGGGGTGTCTCTCTGGCCCGTGGCCTCTGTCTCCACTTGGGTCCTCGCCTCCCCTTCTCTCTGGCTCTCCCTTATCCCTGGCGGTGCCCTGGGAACGGGTCCCTCCGCGCGCCCTCTGCTGGGCGACGAGAAAGGCACAGGCTGAGTGTGCGTTCGGAGTCGGGACGTGCCTGTGAGGTTCTAGTCCCCGAGCAGAGCAAAGTCACGGCCACCGCAACTACCGGCCCCAGGTTATTATTTCATGCGTATCGAGCGCCTTGGAGAGTGGGCGCCAGGTCGGCCCACCGCAGGCTGCGGGTGAGGTCCTCGCTTTCCCCGGGCAGGCACCGGGCGTCTCTCCCTGTCCATTCGGGCGCTGGGGGGACGGCCGCTTGGTGGAGGCAGAGGAACTTGGCAGAAAAGTTGCGGACGCGGAGTTCCCGGCTCACCTCGGCGATTGGCCCTGCCCCTGCCTGTGCCAGGGCCTCCCAGCACCAACCTGCCTGTTAACTCCCAGTGTCTTTGGCTCGCCATTCCTGCCCAGCAGACGGAGAGAAGTGACTTGCCCAAGGTCGCACAGAGAGTTGGGGTTAACACCCAGGTCTCCTGGACTCCAGATTGGTGGGTGAGAATCAGATTCTAGTCCTGCCCCCGGAGTCCCTGTGGGACCAGGAGCCCGCGGTCATGCCTCCATGAGCCTCGGTGTTCTTACTACTTTGGCGTAAGATCTGACGACCCCTAGGGCTGCGGTAAGGCCCCAAGGGCTGACGTTGAGGCTGGGCAGCCAGGAGCTGGAGTTTTGAGATCTGCACTTCTGCGAAGCGCATCTCTCTGACGCCTGCCCATAGAAGGGGGTGCCTCCAAACCACAATCCTGGGCCCTGGCTGCTGGGGTGTCCCCCAACTTCACCAGTCACAGACTAACTGCAGGGTTCCTCTGAGTTGCAGGTCTCGTTTTGGGCCCGAGGGAACTGCAGACTGACAGAGTGAGGACAGAGTTTCAGGGGGCATCTGAGCCCACCGTCTCCACTTCTGAGTTAGAGCTCAAATCCCACCTTTGCCCTTGACTTGCTCTATGACCTGGGGAGAGGATTCACCTGCCCGAGCCTCATTTTCCTCATGTGGAACAGGGCCATTCATGCCACAGATGGTAATTGAGCATCTTCAGGCTGTGGCAGAGAATGAGTCAGACCCCCCCTGCCACCCAGTCCCCCCTGTCCTGGAGTTCTTAGGCCATTGGATGAGCAAGAAGTAATGGGTAAAGGCATATGATAATTCCAGAGGGTGACACATGGGACAGGAAGCAAAGAGGGACCCTGGGATTAGGGAAGGGCTCTCTGAGGAGGTGACATTTTAGTACAAACCTAAGTGAAGTGACACTGGAGGCTAAGTGGGCCTGAGGAAAGAAGGTGACAAGCAGAGGGAACAGCCAGTTCAAAGGTTCTGGGGTAGGAACGTGTCTGTTACGTTAGAGGCAAAGGAGAGAAGCAAGTATGGCAGCCGTGAACAAGAGGCGAGTGGAAGGAAAGGAGGCAGGGAGGCGAAAGGGCAGCTCATTCAGGGCTTCATGGCCTGTGGGGGGATTGGCTTTAGGCCTTATTTTCTCTCTGACTTTTTAGGAAGGAACAGAGGTCACTGAGCTGGAAGGAGACTGAACTATGAAGGGCCTGTGTAGCCTAGTGGCTAAAATCCCAGTCTTGGGAGTCAGACAACTGGCTCATCCTCCAGCTCTGCTTTTTCCAGTCGGGGTGACCCTGATCATGTCACTTCCCCTTCCTGGGCCTCAGGTTTCCTCATCTCTGAAATGGCCTCCTCAGGACCTTATTTCCAAAGTCTGACCTGAAGAGTCAGCAAAACAATGGAAGGAAGCCTGAGGGCAGGTCAATAAGAAAGCTCTTCCTTTCTGGTTGTAGCTGTACCAAGGGGTCCTGGTGGTTAGTGCAAAGGGTCTTAACAAGGAGTTTTCTTCTTCTTCTTCTTCTTCTTTTTTTTTAAGATTTTATTTATTTATTTGACAGAGAGTGAGAGAGAAAGAGCTCACAAGTAGGCATAGCAGCAGGCAGAGAGAGA